AGTCCACATGCGTTTCAAGCGCTCAAAAACCAACGCCTATTTTCAAGACTTGCCAGACGTGAATGAGAAGAAACTAAAAACATTTGAAATAAAAAACGTAAAGTTGCCAACAAAAAAATGAAAAATGTAGGTAAGAGACAAAACTACAAAAAGCTACAGTAGCCGAGAGAGAAAAAGATGAAACACAGAACAAAAACCACTGTGACCGAGAGAGGTAAATCAGGAACAAACCTTCTGTGTCTGACATATTTTAAAGATTTTAGTTCAAAACACATATAACCATCTTATCTAAAATTTTATCGTTTATGCTTTATAATTTTTTCTAGAACTGCTGCCATGACAAACAATTTGAGGTTTTATGCTCAAATTTGCCCTTATTTGTTTTTTAAAAAATTGCTTTAGATTTACATTTTCAGCACACTTTCATACAAAAATTGAAATTAGAAATTTAATTAAAGTAGAAAAATTGTGCCGATTCCAGTCACACACCTTAAATATTCGGATTTCAAAATGAAATTATATTTACTTATATAGATCTTTTGTCCTTTATAGAACTCATTTAAGATCATTCCTAAATGTTATTTTATTATGAATAAAAAATAGTGCAAATAGAAAGATAACGCGCAGTTCCCAACAAACATACAGCTTGTCATAAAATAATAAATAACTCTTATCCCATGATGAGAAAATAGATAGAAAATTCTGGAAAGTATAGTCTTCTTTACATGAATAGCAACGAAAAAATAAATATTTAACTTATCGCTACCATGCAGGTGTTAAAAACTGTTAGTCTTCTGGTTTTGCAGTTTTCTTTTATTCTGGCAATAAAAATGTTCTCTACGATGTTTTCGTAGAATTTTCGTCTTCCAGATTTTGTTCCCTTGAGTTTATTTTTTTCGATGTTTCTTAGTTCGAGTGTAAACTTCCAACCTTCTAATTTTAAAAGTGTTGTTCAAATAAATGTTCGAAACGGAAAACCCTGAATAGTTTCCTTAATGGTCCTTGGAGGGTGATCCCATATATGCTATTTAATTAGTGCAGGCGATATTTTAAGTTACGAAATCAGACGTAAAAATGTACTTTCTCTGAATAAATATATATTTCTTCAATATTGCTCGAAGCGAGAAGTTTTTTAAATCAAATCATATTAGATAGCATAAACGTTTTCGGGATTTGGGGGGNTTTTGGGGGGGGGGGTTAGCGAACAAGAGACGAAGTTCATTATTATAAATTATTCTTTTAACAATGTAATATTTTAAATGTATCATTGCATTAGTGACATTGAAATAGCAACATTCTTAGCAAATACGAAAATTTTAAAATTCAATTTCTCTGAAACTATTTGACCGATTTTGCTCGACTTATTTGGCCATATTAGTATTTCGCCATATAAAATCTACAATCTGCCTGTAATATCGCATTCCTTTAAATGCAATGAAAATTTGTATACCTTGCTAATCAAAATTCTTTCGACTAAAAACATTAAAATATTAAGCAACTTTTTAAATTATTGTCGTATGAAATTATCTTTGGACAAACAATTTTATAATAACGTGCAAAAGTTTTTTCGAAATGCACAAACAATAAGATTGGTATTAAGGGTTCCAAATTTGGTATAACTCTCCTAACCAAATTATTATGACCCTATTTCCAAGATCGCGGTTACCCCCTATATTTGGGGGATAAGAAATCCAAATGTCTTATTTCTTAAACTTAATGGTATGTACCTTATTCTTAAGCTTAAATATAGTCTGCACTAATTAACTAGCATGTTTGTGGTCACTTCCCTCGAACCATTAAAATTGAGTCTAAGAAAGGGAAAAATAGATTATTAAATCAGAAGTTATTCAGAGTGTTTCTTTTTCTTCGCTTTTTTTTATCATACTTTAGGAATAAGCAATAATAACAACAGCAGTTAGAATATATTTTTTTTCTGTAAATAAAATATTTATTTACCTGTTTTTTTTGTTGTTGTTTTTTCGTCGTTTCATTTTACTTTTGTAGCTTTTTTTTTCTTTTTCCCCTGTAAAAAGCATAAAAGAAAAGGAAATACAAATCTTACTTAAGAATATAAAATATATTCATATTTTTTAAATATAGAATTTTACAAAATTACTCATAATATATCTTTTACAGATAGGCACATATGATTTGAGATTTTACTTTTTATCAAGAATTAAAAATAAATAAAAAAAAAAGTGTTAAATGAATTTAATTGGCGTGAAATCATATCCAGCGTGAAATCGTAGCTTCGTTAGTCTCATTATCATGCTTTATTCGAAACATTTATTAATGCTATTCATTATCTTCACTTAATTAGAATGATTTTTTTTTAAAGTTCTCCCTCAGGCGCTTTTGATGATCTTCCTGAATTATGTTTTTTTTTGTAATTGCTTAGTGATTCTTTTTTTCACATAAAAAACTTTAAAATATTTTAGTGCTTCTAAAAAATTTAAACTGAATAGAAAGGCGTTAAATAAGCTTGTAGTATTTTCTTTAGTATTTAACTTGTTATAACAGTTGAACACCCATCATTTGTTGCTAAAAAATTGAAACAGTTTATTGTTTCCAACTTTATTCTTTCGAAAATTTTGAAGTCTAAAAAATATTTACTTTTCAAAAACTTATTATTTCTATTTTAAATCAAGATTTTTTTATTTGAAAATTACATGAGAAAGTTGCATGACCATGCAGTATTTAATTAACGTTTCCTCGCGGATTTTATGTTTGAATTCCAAAATTTATTATAAATTGTCACTAGATTAACCTATCACTAGATAAACCTATTATGGTTGACCTTGCGACACTTGAGATACATTAAATTTCAAAACAAAGTTGAGAGTGTAAAATAACGAATAAAAAATTAATACAAAATATTCATAACGTTTGAAATTTAAAAAATATTACATTTAGATTTCCTAGATTTATTTTTAATGATTAGTTGAAAATTGATATGAGTCTTTATCAATAAAAATTAATAGTTTCATGTAATTTCCTAGAAACTTTAATGTTACATTGCATAAATAATTTTTGATGTTATAATTCAAAATAATTCCTACTTCATCTAGCTTGGAGTCTATATTTTCTATTCAAAAGTTAAAATTCAATATTTGAGTATCATTAAAGAAAAAAACCAAGGTTTTCATGTCTCTACTGGGCAACTTATATCTTATACATTTCCCATTTATTTATTTTTTCTCTTTAACCTCAATCTAACACGGAATTTATAGAATCTTTGTTTATAATATTTCTCAATGTTAATAATAATAATTTCTAAGATCCAACAGATGGCGCTCTGTGCAGTAATGTAAAAGGATTAATTGTATTCAGTTTCCTCTTAGGTACTTTAACATTAACCTCATACCTTTTTTGTTATTAAGTATATTTTCTGCTAAGAGTGTTTTGTAATGATTTGAGCTCCGAGATCATCGTATTTAACAACATTACCTAGAGTTAAAATTTAAAATATGTATTTCATGTATCTACCTGAAAAAAAATTAATTTTTTCTGGTAATTCAGGCTCTTATTCTTTTTTGCTCTTGCTACATTACATTTTTTAAACTTTGAAACTGCAATTCGCTTTATATTTTTGTTTTTAAAACAATTTAAATTTACGTTTATGTCCGCAAAAATAAAATTTAATTCCCATTTTCATAGACCTGGATATTTATTTTATTTTGATTGAAGTTTCATTTAGTAAATGCGGGATGGACTATAGTGATAATTCTTTTTAGCGATTTAAAAGTTTGAATTCCCGGAAAAAGCTCTTTGTTATGTTTCCAAAACCTCATTATGCAGATTAAAGCCATATATTCAAAGAAATATCTAGCAGTAGTGATATATTCTAACGTAACGAATATATTTTCTACAGCAAAAACCTTTTAAAGAAAGTAAATTTTATTCTTAAGTAATTTATCTACAATGCATTCTAAAGGTAATCTATCTACACATTGATCGTTCCTGTGATATTTCAGAAACATCGCTGTATTTTACTGTCTTTTAGAAATTAAACTTATTTCAGTTTCATAAACTAATGTTATTTATTAATCATATAGCGATTCTCTATTCCTCCTATACTGCAAAATTTTTTAGTGTATCTTACCACCAAAAATGATGGCAACTACTTTACGCAAAGTACTGCCACCATGACATAATTGTGTACTTGTACTTCGGGACGAAGATCACGGATACCCACACATCTGACCTATGACGTCAGCGCCAGCTGACCGTTTATGAGCAAAATGTCATGTTAAAGTTGAGTTAAGTTTCTCCATATAAGTTAGAACGTTAATTAAAGAGAAATTTATTAAATACAGCGCCATATCTCACATCAGATTTGTTGAAACAAAATTTTCTCACTTTCTTCTTTTACTTAACTTAGATTTATTATTTATCTGGGTATTTTATTATAGCCGTGATATATTTTTGTTTGTGCTCCTGGCACCTTCGATGCATAATTAGGTTGTTTATGTTATACGGGGCTTCGTGCCTATCTTTGTGTTAAATAAAAAAATATACTGTGAAAGAATTGAAAACTTTGCGTAAGAATATGTCTCGTAAGAATGATTGCTTCAATTCAATTGATTAAAAAGAACATTATATTAAAGTATATTAAACATAACATCTTTTATATAAGTGCCAAATAAAACTATACCGAAAAGTTACTATGTTACTAAATGTAAATTTGAATAGCTATCGGTGTTTATACAAATCAACTTAATGCCTTACTTTGCAACTGAATTCCACTTAATACTTCAAATTTTTAGTTAAATCTATGTTCAAAAATATAAATTCATCTTGAAAAAAATATTGTACGAAAAAAGCTTACGTTAAAGAAGTCTACCGTGCACGCACGTTATCGGAAATGTATGCTAAATCCATTCCATGCTGGATTTCAAATTTGGCGGCAAATTTGGCATATTAAAGTAGTTTTACGTATCTATAATTACTATACGACTTATTTTTGTTTCATTTATTCATTTAATAAATATATCTTTCAGATTATATTAAAGAACAATCTGGACAAATCTTAGATGAGCATCGGCCCACTTCAGAGTTGACAGAAGCAGAAAAAGTTGCTTTGCTGGGCAAACCTCGTTTAGGTGATAATTATAAAATTCAACTGCGCATTAAAGAAAGCAAGGAATTTAAGGTAACATATTACTTTTTTTTTGAAATGCTAAAGAGAAAAAAGTTGGCCTTTGTATTACAATTAAGAATTAAAGTTTTACAGATCATTTACTATAATATCTATGATGAGTTAATAGTAAACTTTTTTATTCAAAATGAACTTATATAAAATTTTACATCAACAATTTACTAAAGAAAACTATTTTATTTATGAATAAAATAGATGTCAAGATTTTTCACAATTTCTCCGTTCTCCACACTTTTCCTCTCTGTTTACCATGGTTTAATATCTTACTCCCCCCCCCCTATTGCCATAAATTTCAACTTCTTAGTAAAAAATACCTACGTAAAGGAAAAGGTACGATTTGTCGAAACCATGGTTACGATAAGTGGAAAATATTTGAGGGCGGAATTGTGTAACCTTAAGGTACCTATAGTAATTAGAAAGAGTATATGAATGTTTATAACAGAAATGCATTACTTTTCTTGCTGGAATTTCTTAGACACGATTAATCTACAGTGTGTTGAGCATTATTTATTGTTTTATAAATTCTAATGCTTGTTCCATAAGTGTAATTGATTATAAAATTTTATTTGATGATATTGATGTTAATCCATTTTCATATATTTGTTTTGATTTATAATTTTCAATAAGATTAACGAAATTACATATTTTTGACATATCGAATTATATAGTATCGAATTGCATATAAACTTGATTTGTTTTGTTAAAAATAAGTGAATAATTATAAAAAATAATGAATAATTATAAAAAAAATAATAAATACAAAGGTGACCTGCAAACCATTTACATAAATATAAACAAACTGAAAAAACTATGCGTTAAAATTAATAAAATTTGTATTTAATTTGAAACCTAAGTCCTCGTAAAACCAAATTTAAGCTACAATTCTGCATTTTTAGATATATAGTTCAATAAGTCATAATATCTGCACTTTGAGTCTTAATTCGAGCCATGCTGAAATCTTAACTAAAAAGAACGATGCTATTATTCAAATTGAACAATAATATCTTGTACTAAATTTTTTAAAACAATGTAAGCTCAACAGTCTAAAGGTTGTTATGCAAAGATTGGTTGTTATGGTTCAAAATACTCCAACACTTCTAAGATTGTACGAAGTTGGCAAAATAAAATAACAATAACGAAATAAAATAACAAAATTAATGTTTATCTTAAGCAACATACCTATCGAATTGTTAATTTTTAAATTAACCATACTATTATTTTTAGAGGGTAGAATTTTTTTTAGAAAGCCACAATATGAGGAAGAAAACTTTATTTAAAGTTTTAGCAGCAATTGGAATTTATAAGAAACTATTTCAGGGATTTCAAATCCGATATACATTTAATTAAATATTTAAAACAGTTGCAATCCCTAATGGAATTTCCCATTTGCTAATTATTCGCTAATCCAAACATATACATGTTTTATCTAATCTTTTCTCAACTATGCTAGCTAATGAAACCAGCATACATTTATAAATCAAGCTTAGATGTTCTGTTACGAAATCCCCATAAGCACTTACGACATTTACTCTAATAAAAGGAAATTTAAATACGTTTTAAATATTTAGTCTTTAATTCCTTTTAAATATTTATAAATTGTCCTGCTGGCCGCGTAAATCTCACTTGTTCATTTGTAATTAATGAAATTGAGCAACTTGATTACATTTTGTAATCTTTTACAAACCAGCTTCTTTTTAGTAGTGCTACGATTAGTGATTTTAATTGATTATAAATATTCTTTCTTCTAGATATTAGTTTCTACCGAAAGAATTATAACTCACTAATAAAACATTTAATTGTTCAATGATCTGTCTATGTCTAATGATTCTCTAATCCAAACATGTGTATTTTTCATCTAATCTCTTCTCGACTATGCTAATTCATGAAGCCAGAATTCATTTATAAACCAAACTTACATCTTCTGTAACGACATCCCCATATGCACTTACAACATTTAGTGTAATAAAAGGAAATTTAAATTAGTTTTAAATATTTAGTCTTTAAAATTTCTTTTAAATATTTATAAAATGTTTTGCTGTCATCCATAAATCTCACTTGTTTAATAGCAATTAACGAAATTGAGCAACTTGATTAAGTTTTGTAGTCTCTTACAAATCAGCTTCGTATTAGTAGTACTACGATTAGTGATTATTCATTAATTATAACTAACTCGTCCTTGTAGATATTAGTTTCTATTGAAAGAATTCTAACTCACCAATTGTATTTTGTAATATTTGTAGTATTGAACCACTCAAATAGTTGTAATATATCATACAATTTAAATTCTTTGAACTATTTTAACAATTGTCTTATATAATACTTTATGTAACATTTTGTTCCTTAAGCATATATCACAAATCTTATTTTTTATAATATTTTGAAACAATTTTAACTGTTCTCCGATTCAATATTTTTCGTAACATTTTGAACCATATTAACTGTCGTTAAAAGTTTTTTTTTTATTAATTTGAACTTTCACTGTTCGAACTATTTCGATCATTTACGTTTTTTAGACTTTACTTCTTACCAAATATAATTTCTAAAATTATTTATTAGCTCAATATTGTTTCAAAGCAGAGTACTAATTACGGTTTTCTTTTTAGTAATCTAATCTTTGAAATTCCAACAACTCAATAAAAAATATTAAAGTAAGATCCAGCAAAATTTAACATTAGCAGTTTCTAAAAAATGAAGTAAAAAGTTTCTTAAGTTTCTTCTTTATGTTTTAAATCAAATGCAATCCAAAATACATTTTCTAGATTACCAAAATTATTTTAATAATAAAAGCTTTCTTGAAAGAAGTTTTAAAACTATCCCAATTTTCATACATACTGCATCGCTATGAAATAAAAAACTTTAGTTGATTGGAGAAAAAAACTCTCCCTTGTCTGTTCACAATTTAATAATAACTAAACAAATCTTACTTAATTTTGTGTTATTTGGTTAGAAACCCTAATACTGGCTACAAAGATTCAAATATATTTTTCCTAATTTTTTATTAACTGAAATTGAATTATTACCAAATAATTTAAATTTCATTTAAATGATTAACTTCTACGACCTAAACCAAATAATTTTTAACAATTTGTTGAAAACAAGTATACATTAATGTATAAAGTAAAAAACATGTTATGTAATTGCTTAAGTCATTTAAAATGAATTACGTGATTTATCTTTAGAATACTGTCGACAAACTGTTCGAGAAAACTAATGTATCCATGACTATTGGAACATCATCTTGGAAAGAACAGTTCTTAGACGTTATTACTGTTAGTGCAGGTAATTCATTATTGTAAAACTATTTTCCTTCATTATTGTAAAGCTCATTTTTGATATACAGGTAAATAAATCTTTTGAAAAATACCCGAGAGCGCAATTAAACATAATTTTGACCTATCTTACACTGGCGTAAGAAATAAAGAGAATTTGCTGACTTGGTCGATTATCTCTAGATTTATCTCTAGATTATCTATTTTAATGAAATTTGATCTGTACATACATTTATACAATACAAAACAAATAACAGATCATTAATTGTAATGCACACTCAATATCATGCGTAACACTTGTTGGAGTCGGATGGTATGAAACAGCAGTTGCAGGATATAAAAAGGGGTCAATAGGGGTTATGGCTCTTTCTTGCAGATATACAGGCCTTGCAGCATGATTTAATACTTGAAATAAGACAGTTTATCATTTCCTGTTGCAATTGGCCTGAATTGTCCTGTGGCAATTTCATATCTTCCGACTCCAACGAGAGTTACGCACGACAGGCGTGGGTATTGCAATTGTTGTATGGTTATTTGGTTTCTATTGCATCACTGTATCTACATATCAAATTTCATTAAAATTGGTCCAGTAGTTAAATAGATAATCTACCAAGTCTGCAAATTCTCTTAAATTCATACATCAGTGTATATTGTATTGAAGATAATCTTGAAATTAACAATTTAAGAAAAACATGGAAAACGAATCTCACCTTTTTTATTCATAAAAAAATATTTAACAAGTTTGTACCATATTGCTTCATGGCACCAGTGGGCCAGAAGGCCATGATCTTTGGCCAAAAATTAAATTTTCAACTAAAATACGTGTAGGCAGTTTTAATATCGCCCAAATTAAGTATTCATAATCATTCCAAACATTATAATTTACTTTTTGTACCGACGAGAGTACAATGTAGTTAAAAATATGTTTTTTTTTTAAATGTAGCTTTTAAATTTATATTTCAGAAATATATATAGGAATTTCACCTTACTGTTGCATTTTTATCAGAGTAATTAGTCTGAAATTATAGTACAATTTTTCAATTTGTTGGATTAATTAATACTCTTGACAAACTTATAGTTTGTATCTTATCATTTGACATTTTACAATGTTTAGCTCACTTTGGAAGCTTATCTCCAAAAAGTTTCACGAAGTAATTAGCTAAACTTTTTTTTTTGTTGTCTTCCTTGATGTTTCTTCTCTCGAAAAAATCTGCCCCATTTTGCCCGTATTGCAAGGTGGACTAAACTAAACTCAGTGGCGCGACAGCCCTTGAGGGCCAAGGCCTACTGTACTCATCTCAGTTTTCTTGATCTTGGGCTCTGGGGTGCAGGAGCAGATGTTCCGGTCAGGTGGTCAGCCGAACGCGGAACCTCCAGTGTTTAGTTCCCAAGCATGCTTGGTACTCATTTATCGACCCACTGAAGGGATGAAAGGCTGAGTCAACCTTGCCCGGTCCGAGGATTGAACCAGGGACCAGTGACACGACAGCGCGAAGTGCTACCGCTCAGCCACCGGGCGTCAAGGTGGACTAAATATACCGAAAAACGAAAATTATGTTGTTTTTTTTTCATGTTTTCGCGTTATTTTGTAAGTAATTCGCGCCATTTTGTAATATTATTTCGGAAATATAATTTGCTTTTTATTTTTAATATAAAATTGTGAAAATTATTATATTTTCAATGCTATATTTAAATATTTAAACGTACTATATATACATATTTTTTTTTTTGCTCGCCATATTTTAGCCGCCATTTTGTTTTGTTTTTCGGAATTTTTAGTTATTTCAAAATTTCAACTATGAATTCAATTTACCTGCACATGAAGAGCCCCCAAATTTTGAAACAAATTTCATCGAAATATTAATTTTGGTCACGAAACCTTGGATGCTGGCCCACTGTGCATGACATGAAACAAAATCACTTATCGTTTCTATCCGAAATCTATTTGCAACTAAATTCAAAAAGAAATAATTTTCATTTAGATATGAGACATTTCACCCTGTAAATTAACATTCTTTGTAACAAATTTTAGTTACATGTTCTTGCAATATCTGTTTTTAACACAGATAAAAAAAAGTTGAATTTTTTGTATACTATGGATACATTGAAAGCCAGCATACTAATTATTCAATCTCAATTTCTTTTTTCGTCAGGTTTTTAAAATTTTTTTTTACAGTATGATTATAAAGAAAAGTTTGTTTGACAGTTTCCCCTACCAAAGGGGAAATCTATAAAAGAGTCAGCTTGAAGACAAAGAAAATTTTAAAAAACCTTAAAACGAAGACTCAGTAACTTGAAAAAAACTAATACACTCTATAACAAAAAACTCGACGCACAAAGAAGGAGTTGTCCGATTGAAACGAAAATTGGTGGATAGGAAGACAATGTACAGAATAGTAAATGATTAAAATTTCAGAACAATTGAATTATATATTGCAGAGTTACAGTAACAAGTTCAATAAGGTGTTGACCCGCCTCTAGCCTGGACACAAGTTGCCACACGGGGTGGCATAGACCGATAAAGCTCCCGGATGGTTTCTTGCCGTATTTCCTGCCAAATTCGATCCAATTGTCGAATGAGGTCATCGACATACCGTGCCAAATGCAATCGCCTTCCCATCATATCCCAGACATGCTCGATGGGAGAGAGATCTGGTGATCTGGCAGGATAAGGAAGAGTTTGACAAGCTTGCAGATAGTTCATTGTAGCACGTGCCGCACGCACGTCTGGCATTGTCCTGCTGAAAAACCAGCCCAGGGCGCTGCAAAAGGAACGGTAACAAAACAGGTCTTAGGATGTCGTCGACGTACCGCTGTGCAGTAAGTGTACTTCTAATGACGACCAAAGGGGTACGGCTGTCAAAGGAAATGGCACCCCAGACCATAATGCCTTGTTGAGGGCCGGTGTGGCGTGCAATAGTGAAGGCAGGATCCCCCCTCTGATCTGAGCGTCTCCAAACACGTCTTCGATGATTGTCAGGACACAGTTGGAAGCGGGATTCGTCGCTAAAGACTATACGTCCCCAGTTGGCATCATTCCCGTCATATCTGTTAAAAACATTCATGCATGCGAAATTTCAAGGTAATCGGATGATTGCTTCTTGGTGCGTCGATTTTTTTGTTATAGAGTGTAGATTATTCAATTTACTATTTCAAATTAAATTCGTTTTGAAACTTGTTATTTTCAAATTTGTTATTTTTCATTCTTAAATAAATATTTTACGTTAGTCGCAATTATTATTTGTTCCATTTCTTTAAACATTTAATTATTGCTGTATTGCTTTTAATATCTCTTTTAATTCCTGTGAATCAAACCTTTATTACAGTAGATATTACCTCTCTGGAGTAGGAGAATCTTTTAAAAGCTTTACCAAGTTTATATACACTTTAAAAAATATTAATAAGAAAAAGCAGTTTATAATTTTAGTAAAAACGTTAATTTTAACAATTGACAAACATTATAATGAATCATAATGTTAACTTAAAAATTTTATTACATTGACAAAATAAAATAAAAAATTAAATATATTTTTTTAAAAAGCAGGTAAAACCTCCCACATAAAACTTAAAAATAGATTGTAAAAATAAGATTTTTAATAATATCCTTCATGTGACATATTATTAAATATATTTTTTATTAATTATGATAATGATATTAAATATCATACAACATATTATTAAACATTTTAATCAAATCTTTTTATAGATATTATGATAATATATCCATAACAAAAAATTGTTTAAGTATCTAATTTTTAATTGGAAATTATTTTCATTCTTTAAAATCATTTTGTCTTTAGGAGACGATGATGAAGATGGAGATGAAGAAAAAATGCCATCTTGTTCAGATTATGTGATGCATTTCTTTACGATATTTTGGAAAGTTCTGTTTGCTTTTATCCCTCCCACCGGTATTATAATTTTTATTTCATTTATTTAATTTCACAAAAATGCTTATAAACCATATTGTTTACGTTAAAGACAAATTAGGAAATTCCAATTTAGAAATGTTGCAGTATAGAAAATAATTCTTACTGCTTACATCATTTCTATTGATCGATGTGAATCTGTCTAATACAAGATCACGCAGGACATCATGACGAAGAAACTAATGATAAAAAAACAAATGTTAGTACACCAAATATAGAAACTGATTAGTTTTTCTTCATTAAATTTTAATTCTGCTTATTTTAAAAGTAGTATATTTAATCTTTTTTAAACGGAAATTCGGTCCCTTTACCTTTTGGATAAAATATTGGACTTTTTTCTTAAAGTTTTCATAATTTAGGATACCATTTCAAAATCAAAGTGCTCTTTTTTATCATTTTACCATCTGTAGCAAAATGGTGTTTTCCTATTTAAATGATGATTCTTTAATTACGCTTTGTGCAATAATTAATGTCAAAAGATTTTTACATCATACTAAGACATACATTAAAGATGGATAATCGTTTCACTAATTAAAATTTCTAATTGTTGAATGAATTAAAAAAAATATAAAATGCCAAGAAACTTGTTTTTATAAGTCATTGACAGAAAAGATTAAGATTTAGGATTATTTAAAGATTATTTAAGATTTCCTTATTCAAGTGTTGCATAACAATTTCTTTGAAGATTTTGCGAGCATTATAAATAAAAATGTGATTTACGATAGCTGAAAAAAATCTTAGTAATTTAATTTAGTATGATAAATTTTGAAACGACAGTTTTTACACTTAGATTCTCGTCTTTGAACGTTTGCACTGCAAATGATCCCTTTCTATTTCAACATTTTGCTACCAATAAATAAATGCAAACATGTCTTCAAAGAACATGTCTTTCTCTGATTGACACAAAGCATTTAAAATATACTTTTAGCGGTATTATTCCTATACAGGGTGTCTCAGTTAAGCGTTTCAGAACTCCTAAGAGTGGTAGGGTGCATCCTGACATCTCGAAATCATATAGCAATGCGGGATCGGAAATGCTTTCCCGAAGCGGTAATGTACACAGAAGCACCATAAAGAAAAGAGACGGTCTGTGAAAAATCGCTTTAATAATGCATTGAAATAAGCATAAGGTACATGGGTCAAAGTAAGTGTTCGAAGTTTCTGCCACCGGCTACAATGCACACCTCACATCTCCGGTGCATGGACATTCTGCAATACTCCAGGCATATCTCGAATTTCTCCGGCAGCTACTGCGATTCTTACAACCAGCTCCTCAGCATTGTCAACAGGGGTGCCATAAGCCAGTGTTTTCATATGACCCCAGAAATAAAAAGCAAGACATGATAGGTCGGGTGACCGAGGAGGCCAACGCACTGGAAAGCTCGGAACTTTCGTACAACGCCATCTACCNCCTAAGGGTGAAGGGGTTCAAAAAAATTTGTCTTAAAATTATGAAGTGTTTTCAATATCGTTTGGTGAAAAATGTTTCATGAATGAAATGAATTTTGAGCTACCTTCACGAGCCCGTCTATTTTTTAAACATTATTAAAGAGATTATGCATTTAAAATTTTTAAATATATTTAAAATAAATGTAGTTTTTAAAAAAATTTCAATGTATTATTCGTAATGAAGGGGTTCAAAAAAATTTGTCTTAAAATTATGAAGTGTTTTCAATATCGTTTGGTGAAAAATGTTTCATGAATGAAATGAATTTTGAGCTACCTTCACGAGCCCGTCTATTTCTTAAACATTATTAAAGAGATTATGCATTTAAAATTTTTAAATATATTTAAAATAAATGTAATTCTAAAAAAAAATTTCAATGTATTATTCGTAATGAAGGGGTTCAAAAAAATTTGTCTTAAAATTATGAAGTGTTTTCAATATCGTTTGGTGAAAAATGTTTCATGAATGAAATGAATTTTGAGCTACCTTCACGAGCCAGTTTATTTTTTAAACATTATGAAAGAGATTATGCATTTAAAATTTTTAAATATATTTAAAATAAATGCAATTTTTAAAAAAATTTCAAGAAGTATTTGTTAAAGTAGCGGGATTCGTAAATTTTATTTTGTACTATTGCAAATCACACAACTTTATAACCGGACATTAAGAACTAAATAAAATTTGTGAAAAAAACTCTGATCATTTTGAGGTTTCTTTTAAAAATTCAAAAACTAAAATTTGCTTGAAGCATTCTACATTTTTAAGATATTCAAACAAGACTTTATGAAAAGAAATTTAATTTTTTTTCGTGCATGTGTGCAGTACAAAACAACTACTTTAAATGCTCATATCTAACGTAATTCTTAGTAAACAGCTTTTTTTTTAAAAAATTTGAATTCAATTTAAAAAAATTTGTACAATTTTACTGAATATTTTTAAAGCAGAAAAACGTAGGATAAAAAAATTAAATTCTTATAAAAATATCCATATTTCCATAAATATTTAAGCTAGGCTTGCTAAATTTTATGCAGTTATTGCAAATAAATACCCAAGTAATCGTTCCAAGCTTATTGCTCTACTTTCTGGCATTGAGTGTTTAAAAAAACTTGTTTTCTTTCACAATTTACTGTCGGTCCATCAAACTTCTGAAAGCATTATTGAAAAATCACATGAACTAAACAACTTTAAATTTACAGAATAAAAGCCTCTGAGTTTGTCTATAAAAAGTTTAAAAAAATGTCAAAACTGAAAATGTCTCTTCCATTATTGTAGGACAAGGTATTACAAATGTTGAAACCCATCATCTACTTTACCATTGCGTGAAATATTATCAATATATAAAGAATTTACAAAATAAACGTACTCAGAATAAACGAAAAGTTATTTACAATGTAAATGAAACAAGAAATTTGAGCCATATAAGACATTTCAACTAAGAACTTAAACTACTTAAAGTTTACCCGCCTTCAAAAAAAGAACATCTAATAACATAATCTAAGAACAATGTACAAGCAACCAAACTACTTTTTTAAAAACCAACTTGCAAACATACCGTTAGGAAAAAATTCAAGGTAATATAAATATAAGAATTATGTGACCAAATAGCTTTAAAAATAGAATATTTTTAAAAAAAGGTCAAACAAAAAATATTGGCTGAAAATTGATAAAATTTATAAATTTAAAATGATAAATGCTAAAAGGATGGCCTTTTAATCTTTCTGCTGAAAATTAAAAAGATTTTGCTCCTAACCAAAAGAGGTTTGCTCTTAATTAAAAGAAGTTTTACTCTTAACAAATTCAACAATTCAACTAATAACTAACACTCATTATTTAAAAGAAGTCCTTTAAACCTGGATTTTTTATCATCTTTCTTTCCGTGAAATATCATCGATATGAAAAGAACTTTTAACACATTAAATAAAAAGCTCTTTATAAAGTAAATCAAAGAAGAAAATTGAGCCGTATTACGAGAAAAATCCCAACCTAAAAACTTGATTCCTAAGGGTACACCATATATTATTATTTTTTTTAAAGGATCACCCCAATCTCAAATAAGCCGATTGCTTTTCTAAAACGAACTTATATATAAAGAGTATATTATTTCAGGAAAAGGGAGGAAAAAAAGAGAATTCCCCTTACTCACGTTATCTAATTCTCAATTTTATAGATTTTATTGATGTAGAAATAAGAACCTAATTTTCAAATACATTCAGTATTTGATATCATATAGAGACGCTATATGTTGTATGGACTAAATTAGGAGTTTCCAACCTAATGGTATCGAACCTAAATTTGGATCGTGAGGTTGTCGGAGATGAATCATTACACCATATTGGAAAACAAAGAGTATTAATTTAAAAAAAATAAATAAAATAAACTAATATTTTTTTGTCCTAAGCTAAAAAACATATAATAACTATATCAATCCTATAATTATTTATTTTATAAAGCCTAATATTATGGATTACTTCTAATATTATTCAGAAATATTTATTTTATAGTCCTTTCTAAATATGTCAGAAGCAAAAGTGATTTGAAAAAAAAAATTCATACCATCTTTGTTTCTTGTCTGACAAGTCTTGATTTTTATTCCAATTTAAGGAAAAACGCAACATTCTTTATTAATCAGTTATATATTAGTGTAAGTTTTATCAACTATTTTTGGTAAGATTTAACTTGTGTAAGAATGCTCGATTCGGTATTAACCTGAAATAAAATAATCATTCACGCAATTTTTACTAGTTTTTCTGCACCAAATTTGGATAGGCCACAGTTCTTACAGTGTACCTTGTTCCTCCAAAAATAAACGACGATGTACAACTTCAATAAAAGAAAAACGGTGTAAATTTTTCCAAAATACATATCTAGCCGCAATTTCTCGATTATTTCTAATTAATTGAATTCGACTTCCAATGAGGTGAACCGGGATCGAATCCCAGCGATGACTCGTTGTTACGAATTCCGCATCCTGCTTGCCCCGACCACAGTACAGACTTGAAATATCCTCAGTGGCAGACGGATCATAGGTTAGAGTCTCCTTGCCGTCAGGCTAACCATAGGAGGCTCTCGTGGTGGTTATCCATGTAACGCAAATACGGGTCAGTTCCATCAAAAAAGTCCTCCGAAGGCAAATTTCTCTCAATACTTGATCCAAGAGTTCCCTTGTCTTCTGGATTGGGTTCAAAATTACATGGGTACGGAGTTGAATATTAATAATTGTAAACCCAAAATTGGGTCGGTTGTTCAACGACGGTTATAAAATAAAAAAAAAAATACATATCTGGAAACAATACAAACAAACAATATGGCATATAAAGTTTATATTTGGGAAAATTGTTGTCTATCTCTAAATTACCCCATTCCTTTCAATCCATGGTGATTTCCCATGTAATACTAAGGATACTTGGAATGTGATTCACTGTTTTAACAATCATAAGCTACAATATATTTTTCTTCATAAATACTGCAAAAAGCTAAGCATTGCTGTGATAATTTCTGTGTATCAATTTTAGCTTTTCAAGTAAGCAAACAAAATTGAATTGATATATTTTGTTTCAGACTGTTTCGGAGGTTGGGCTTGTTTCATCATCAGCATTGCCGTTATTGGTCTTTTAACAGCTCTGGTAGGTGATTTAGCCTCACATTTTGGATGTACAGTAGGCCTCAAGGATTCAGTAACAGCTATTTCCTTTGTAGCACTCGGTACTAGTGTACCAGGTTGGTATATTAATAATGCTCTCAATTTATTTTAATTGAAATAAGAAATAAATAGTTTAGAAATTTAATTTATGTTATAAAATGGAAATAGAAAGTTACTATTTATTTCTAATTAATAGAATAATCTAAACACATTTCATGATTAAATTTAAAAAATTGTTGTTAAAGAATTGTTGTAAATTTAATTTTTTTGTGAAAAACGCTAGTTGCAAGAACCTGTTTTACTTATACGTTGGGAAGAAATTGCATAAGAAAATATAGAATATTCAATTTCGGAAATATTTACTTCTACAAAATTTGTACGAGCTTTCTACAGAACATTCATACATTACTTCGAGAAAACTACAAATCTGAGAGGAAAATATAAAATCCAAATGTCTAAGAAGTAATATAATTTCCAACTTTTTTTCGCACATAATGTTCTCTATAGAAGATTTTAAAAGCTTACCGTTTATAATTCTTAAATCATTAGAGATTGCTTCAGAAATCAGAAAGACTGTACTTATCTATTTCGCGGCACAGGTGGTAATGTTGCCAATGAAAACGCAGTAAATTAGATTTTTTTTCTAGTTCTTTATTTGAATTAATAAAAATAAAGAAATTAAAATAAATAAATAAAAAAAGCTAAATTTAACTTACGCCAACAAAATGGAAAAGTATCAGAAAAACTAATTGCACTAAATTTTATGTAATATACTGTAGAAATATATAGGATATTTCAGTAAAATTAAAGCACATGAGGCTATATAATGATTAGACAGATTCTCAATTTTTTCCCAAAAGCGTTTTTGAGAGAATTTTTGGTAAAAAACTACATTATTTCTTTCAAGCAATGGGATCTTTTTCTGTATTGCTCTGTTACCAAGTAGAAATTTCGGATTCTTATGAAAGACTTATTCGAAAATATTACTAGGAAGCTATTTACAGTCTAATTTTATTGGAAAACATATGGCTTGTCAGTGAATTGCAAAACCCCAACCAAAGTTTTTACTGTATCATTAATCAACATTTATAGAACTTTAGGTAATAGAACTTTCAAGATCTCTGTGGTATTGTATTTTATTAATATTGGTATCAATATGTTTCGTACTTTTTATAGATACCTTCGCCAGTAAAGTTGCAGCTCAAAATGACAAGTATGCTGATTCATCAATTGGAAATGTAACCGGAAGCAATGCCGTCAACGTCTTTCTTGGAATCGGCATTGCCTGGTCAATCGCTGCTATTTACCACGCCTCCAAAGGAGAGCCGTTCAGGGTTCAACCTGGAAACTTGGCATTTTCTGTCACATTATTTTGTGTTTGTGCTTTTATCTCTTGCACGGTTCTCATGTTGCGTAGAAGTGCCGTGGTCGGAGGAGAACTCGGGGGTGCCATGCGATACAAGGCCCCTACTGTTATTCTCTTTGTAGGATTGTGGGTATTTTACATCTTCATGTCCAGCCTTGAGGCATACGAGGTTATAAAAGGCTTCTAGAGAGTGGCCTACAGAAATAAATACGAAGTCGATGATGTGGAAGCTGAAGTTGATTTCCTTCCAGAAGTTGTCGTTCTATGTAATGATTCAAAAGTTAAAAAGCTTTTAAGTATGTGCACAGAAGCACTGGATTTCTGAGACCGATTATAAAGCTGCAATATTATGAAAAGAGGTTGAGGAAATGGTAGAGAAGATTCAGTGTATTCTCTTTTCATTTTGCTAAAGCAATTTCTTGAATGTTTGGAAGCACTACTTTAAAGTTTAATTTAACCTATCATCCATACAAAATGTCTGGATTTCATACATTTGACAGACAGACAATAATTTTCTTGTTTCGATCTCATTTTGTCTGCATTAGTGAGCGCTGGATTAGAGCAATTGTTGTTCTGATTCCAAGTTTTCAAATATTGTTTTCCTTTCCAGAGTATTGTTCAAGAGTAGTGGTCATCGTATGGGATACTATAATATACAGTTAGCACAGAACTTGAATCAAGCATTACTGAAGTGCATTATCAAGAACTTTATTAAAATATGGATATATTTGATATTTCGAACTATAGAAAATAGCTTTAAAAATCGTTTGGCTTTAGTAAATGGTAACGATAGGAGCTTTTGAACTCATAGAGAATTTGAATTTCCGAATCTCAGTTAAATATTTAGTTTAGCCCACAACATAAAAGAGCTATCTCTATTTGGAGTATTAAAGAGAACATATTTTTAATTTATCATGTTATTTATTTAACACATTCTGCAATTGATTCCTTATATTTCGTGGAATTTAAAGAGTAAAAGCTATTAGCCTAATTTTGTCGTGCAATAAATTTTCATAATCAGTGCCAAGGTCAACGGTTGAAGAAACCATTTGTGGACATGTGTGTGCCATGTTTTTCATTCCAATTTCTAATTTAAATCTTCTATTTGCATTGAGATGTTTTGCCACTGCATTTTTTCGTGTAAATTTTATCTGATTTCATGGCAGCCGAATCTAGTCACGTGTTATTTCATGGGCAGCCATGTAAAATCATTATATTTCAAAGATCAGACGTCTTCTCTACTTATGAATCGCGCCATTTTTAGCACTCAAGTCATTATTGTGGATCATAATTATAAGGAGTGATACAAAGAGGACTCATTATTACTGTATGCGTCGTCGAGATTTTATTTACTTTGAATGTTTAAAAACTAAAATGTTATTTAATAACTAATGTTTAACTTATTATTAGATATATAATTTTAAACTATTTCTGATTTCTTTTTTGAATTACTTAATTCTTTCACTTTGACAGTGAAGTGTCAACTCACTCAACTATGAATGTTTTGCGAAAGTGATTATGTGTAAATTATTCTTAAAAATACTCTCTGGCGTAAAAAATTCATGTACATGGGTTCTTTAACGTGCAATCTGATTTATTGATACTATAAAAATGTAAAACACTGTCATGAAATCTCCATTGTTGATGTAAATGAAATTAATCTAAAAGAAGAGTTCTGTAAACATCTCTCAATTCATGTACGCCTTCATAAAACCTAAAATAAATTTGGAAAAAATCGCATTTTGCTGATAAGTCGATCGAGAGTTTTGTACATTTCAAAATTTCGAAGTTAATTTTTATTACTTTTTAGTTGAGTTTCATTATTTTTTTAAAACTCGTCTGTTCTTGAAGTTTTATGTTTTTGAAGATCTTATCTCGTATCGCTCTGAATTGGTTAACACTTTTAACACACTATCATACAATTATTGAATATTTATTTTTAATATTAAATTTATAATTAATTTATTGTAAGAAATAAACCTTCTTTTAGACAAAGCTACTTTAGGTTATTACAGCAAAATAGATCAATAAATTCTACCTATAGAAAAATAGATATNCTATCATACAATTATTGAATATTTATTTTTAATATTAAATTTATAATTAATTTATTGTAAGAAATAAACCTTCTTTTAGACAAAGCTACTTTAGGTTATTACAGCAAAATAAATCAATAAATTCTACCTATAGCAAAATAGATATATAAAAGAATTGAAATGCAATCTTTATTTCAAAAGTAAATTTGATTCTGTTGTATGTTTTAAAAAGATAAAGAAGTTGATCGAAAATTTTGCAAGAGACATTATTAAGTACATAATATTTTTTTACATAATTGACTCAAGTTATTAAAGAAATATCAACAATTATCCCTTCTCGAATAATTAAGTTTTAATTTTGCATCAATGATTTATCCCGATTTTAGCCAAACAAATGTATCCGTATCCAATCATTAGCTAAAAGATTGATTGGAGATGTAAAACTCTTTGGATACGTATACTTAAAGTGGTATAAATTTAAAATTATATATTTGATTTCAAAAATTACTATATATTCTAAGATGATTCTCTTACTATAATATTCCAGTAAAGTTTGTTGTAGTTGTCTCATATCATTTATGAAGTTAATATATCAAAGCAACACACTAAATAAAGAAATGTGATATCAGAATAACGTAAGAAATTATTTATTATTTGCAAGTATTCATAATGAGAGGTTAACTATGAAATTGTTTTTTATTTAAAGTTCATTATTCTGTAACTAATGCCTTTTTAAACAAATACATCAGATTCTCATGCTCATGTTGTCTTTATATAAACTTGTTAATAGCGTGAATAGGCTTAAAAATGCTTCTTTCGAAAACTCAAATGATTGATCTGCTAAGTTACACAGATTTTCGAACATATTAATAGATTTGGCAAACTGACAAAATTATGGTAAAAAGTTGGCTTCTATGAAATTATTAAATAAAATGTAACAAATTCTTGTATAATACAATAAACTAAAAATCCTATATGTTTACTTGATTAAAAACTTCATATGCCTTAAAAATATACAAATTAAAATAACAGTAGACATGCTCCAAGCGCTAAAAAATAGGCTCCCTTTTTCAAGACTTGCAAAACGTGAATGAGAGAAAACTAAAGTAATTTGAAATACAAAACGTAAAGCTGCCAACGGAAACTGGAAGAATAAAAGGTAGAAATAAAACTTTAGAAGTCACCGTTGCAGAGAGAGAGAANAGTTCATTATTCTGTAACTAATGCCTTTTTAAACAAATACATCAGATTCTCATGCTCATGTTGTCTTTATATAAACTTGTTAATAGCATGAATAGGCTTAAAAATGCTTTCTTCGAAAACTCAAATGATTGATCTGCTAAGTTACACAGATTTTCGAACATATTAATAGATTTGGCAAACTGACAAAATTATGGTAAAAAGTTGGCTTCTATGAAATTATTAAATAAAATGTAACAAATTCTTGTATAATACAATAAACTAAAAATCCTATATGTTTACTTGATTAAAAACTTCATCCGCTTTAAAAATATACAAATTAAAATAACAGTAGATATGCTCCAAGCGCTAAAAAATAGGCTCCCTTTTTCTAGACTTGCCAAACGTGAATGAGAGAAAACTAAAGTAATTTGAACTACAAAACGTAAAGCTGCCAACGGAAACTGGAGAAATAAAAGGGAGAAACAAAATTCTAGAAGCCACAGTTGCAGAGAGAGAGAAAGATGAAAAACAGAACAAGAAAACCACAGTGGCTTAGAAATAACAAATAAGAATGTCGCTAATAAGAGAACCAGCATCTATATGAATAAAACAAGATTCCAGGGCATCAAGATAAGCTGATGTGACCCGGATGGATATAATTTTGGCATTTTGAAACATTTCGACTGTTTCCAATTTGTATATTTTTTAAGCAAAAGAAGTTTTTAATTTCATACCGCTTCAGTTGCTGGGGATTATTTATTTAATCCTATACGTTAACTAGAAATACAGAAAAAAATTAAAAAGATGTGTCTTCTTATATTAACATATAAAAATATGCGTCTTGTGTAGAATTATAAAGATATGTCAAACATGTTAATATGTTTACTACATGTTTACTATTTTTACAACAGTAACTTAAATTTTAAAAAAAATGGTCAGATAGCAAATACTGAAATTGTATAGGATTAATATCCTATATGACCACAAAAAATACATACTTTTAAAACATACTAAAATCAGCAGGCGCAATTATGCTTATTTAAACTCTCTTACGTTTATACCAACATTTCTATAATGTTTCTTTACATTATTAGCCTCTTCTGGCCTGCTTAGCGATAATAGAATAATAGGTATCTTCTAGGTAACTTTGAGACTTCGTTTATAATAATAACAAAGCATAACTTTATGTTGTATAGAAATTATGAAACCTTTCATTTGGTTTAATCCATGACAAATCCGTTAATTTATTTAATTTAATACTTGTTGCAATGTAATAATTATCAGTATACTGAATATACAATATACTGATTATAGCAGTACACAAAATTTAATTACTAATATGTTGACGTATGCCTGTTTAGGCTGAGGGGGTGCGATTGTTCTTGCTTTTCAGTGGCGCCATCTATGGCCAAGAGTTCGACTTCTGCCACTCCTTACGTCACACCCGTTTACAGGGCGAAATCATTCATACATCCAGTCATTACTAATATAATTATTATAATTGCTTTAATCGTTGCCGAAAACTATTAATATCTTAAAAAGACTAACTGTGAACTATCTTAAAAAGACTAACTAACTTAAAAAGACTGTACTGTGAGTGGGTTACTTTTCTGATGAAATAAGTATACAATTTGCATAATTCCGTCAATCAATATATAAATCTGTTTTTCGACTCGATGAAAATAAAATTAATATTTTTTTTAATATGAAACCCAGTTTACTAGAACGTACATATCTTACATAAATAAAATTTGAAAAAAAAAACTTGATTTTTATTTCTGCCTTTTGAAAAATATTTTCATGTTGCTTTTAAAAATTGCTATTCTAACACATCATTACCCTTGATAGGATGTTGTTTGACCTGTTATATGAACAGACACGGAGGACGAAATAAATGTCAGACAAAATAAAACACACTAGTACTGAACTTTTTGGGCTTCAATGCCACATAAACCTTTTAGTGAAAGAAAGAAGTAAATAACTTAGTGATTAATTTTTCTTCGTAAACTATTATAAAACACTTTACCCACAAAACACTAATAAATGTAAAACCAGTTACAAACAATTCAATAGATCAAAGATGTGTCATTAAATACCAGTATTTAACAGCTGATAAAAATTCAATTAAGTGCATAAATAAAATTAATACCCTTTTAAATTAATAAAATTAATACCCTAAAATTAACCCTTTACAAACAATTCAATAGACAGATATTAATTATTTAATGAATTAATTATTTAATGAAAACCGATTATTTTACAGCTGAATAATTAAACATGAAATAAATTCAAAACTTGTTATGAACAGCTTAATACATCGTTGTGTAACGGAGATCTGAAAAATAATTAATACCCATATACGAACTTTTTACTTATTTCTTGTTTATCTTTAAGTACTTTTTTACACTATGTATTGGGTAAATGCCATGTTAAAAAAAAAAGGGGAAATTTTTTTTTCCAGCTAATGATTAACATAAAAATAATATTTTTACGCTTCGCTTAATGGATAGAAATTGTATTATGATGATCACAAAGTCTTTTACGAGTTAATAAGCAGAAACAATTTCTGTAAAGCAAGTATTTCATGGTCAAAAACGGATGCAACGCAAACAGAGATCTTGTAGCGTACATATGGTGAACATATGGTGATATATGGTGATATAATGGTGAACAGTCTTGTGAATATGAAGATGGATGTTTTACAGCTTAATAGGTAAAAATCATGTTATTTAAAATCAAACAAGTATCATATGATCAAACCAAACATGCATGAGATTCATTAAAAACCTCTGTTGCAAACAGCCCAATTGATTAACTGTCGTTTTGTTATGAGCTCCGCGTATTTTACAGCTACGCGATGAAAATGGAATACTACGTTCAATAGGACATTATATTCTGGATATTTTACTGCGTTAAAGCCACTTTATTAAAAATACCTAGTCTTTTTTTAAAATTTATTTGGCAACAGGAAAGATTTATTTTCAAATTGATTTTGCCAGGAGGATTATACAACAGTCATGCCCATTCACATTTCACCTCTTCATGGTATTTTCGGCTTCCTCCGACAACATTTTTCATTTTAAGAGTTCTAATTTTAAACTGGATATACAATGTATCAGAAATTTAATGTCTGTTCATGTTTTAAAAGCATTAATTATTTTCTATGTGAAAAACTTAGATAGCTTCCTGTATTATGTCTAGCTTAAAATGAAGACTACTTATGGTGTGGTCTTTGCTTATTTTTGTGCAAAATGAATTATATCTAAGGATATGCTTTATGATTTAGAGTAATATAATAATTTTTATAGACACTTTTTCTATAATATTTTAAATAGTAAGTAAACTTAAAAATAAAAACGTCCTGAATTATTAACATTAACTTCCATGAGCAAAGTATATGGTTTAATTTTGAAC